GAAGCCTCCTGTGAGTTACTACAAGCTATAAAGTAGATTTAAAAAACGTTTTATAGAATAAAAGCTCACTGCGGGACGTTGTAGAAATGCGTGTGTGCACCACGACAAAAGAGCCTCATTCACTTTACATTGGGGTTTTTTGCGTGGTGCCGACACGCAAATGTAGCAGAATGCGTGACTCCACCACGCAATGCGGTGTTAAGGTTGCGTGGTGGAGTCACGCATTCTGGTGAGATCAGGTTGGCCGGGGATGAGCCCCGGACAGCCCAAGCACAATTTAATGTAGACATAATATTGATATACAGAGGTAGGAAGTAATTTACTCAAGTACTGTACTTAAGTATACGTTTGAAGTACTTTACTTGAGTATTTCCATTATATGCTACTGTGTACTGTACTTTTCATCCACTACATGTATTAATACCTCTAGTTACTTCACAGATGTGGATGAATGATGTGAAATATAATCAAGTGTTGAATCAGACTTTAGTTCCACCTGGAGTAAATCCACCAGCTACCCTGCAGTATACAAAGTCATTCAGACTAGCTGCACCTTCACCAGCTTTGAGAACACTTTCATGATCAATCATTATAAAACATATCATATATATTATTCTGAAATGGACCAATCTGCACAACGACTACTTTTACTGTCTTTCACTATATTTTGATGAGAATACTTTTCTACTTTCACTTGAGGAACATTTTGAATGCAGGACTTTTACTGTAACAGAGTATTCCTACACTCTGGTACTTCTACCTTTACTCAAGTACAAGATCTGAGTACTTCTACTTTTACTCAAGTACAAGATCTGAGTACTTCTACTTTTACTCAAGTATAAGATCTGAGTACTTCTACTTTTACTCAAGAACAAGACCTGAGTACTTCTACTTTTACTCAAGTACAAGATCTGAGTACTTCTACTTTTACTCAAGTACAATATCTGAGTACTTCTACTTTTACTCAAGAACAAGACCTGAGTACTTCTACTTTTACTCAAGTACAAGATCTGAGTACTTCTACTTTTACTCAAGTACAATATCTGAGTACTTCTATTTTTACTCAAGTAGAAGGTCAGAGTACTTCTACTTTTACTCAAGTACACGATCTGAGTACTTCTACTTTTACTCAAATACAAGATCTGAGTACTTCTACTTTTACTCAAGTACAAGATCTGAGTACTTCTACTTTTACTCAAATACAAGACCTGAGTACTTCTACTTTTACTGAGTACAAGATCTGAGTACTTCTACTTTTACTCAAGTACAAGATCTGAGTACTTCTACTTTTACTGAGTACAAGATCTGAGTACTTCTACTTTTACTCAAGTACAAGATCTGAGTACTTCTATTTTTACTCAAGTACAATATCTGAGTACTTCTATTTTTACTCAAGTACAAGATCTGAGTACTTCTATTTTTACTCAAGTACAAGATCTGAGTACTTCTACTTTTACTCAAGTACAAGACCTGAGAACTTCTACTTCTACTCAAGTACAAGATCTGAGTACTTCTATTTTTACTCAAGTACAATATCTGAGTACTTCTATTTTTACTCAAGTACAAGATCTGAGTACTTCTATTTTTACTCAAGTACAAGATCTGAGTACTTCTACTTTTACTCAAGTACAAGACCTGAGAACTTCTACTTCTACTCAAGTACAATATCTGAGTACTTCTACTTTTACTTGAGGAACATTTTGAATGCAAAACTTTTACTCTCACTTGTGTAAAAAGCCTAGAAAAGTCCATGTAGTTTACTTTAGATTAAAAACGTTTTTATGGAGACTTTTCTACTTTTACTTAAAGGTCCCATGTCATGCTTTTCCGGTTATTATCCGTCCCCCAGTGTTGTAGTCAAGTCACCAATTCACAAGTCCAAGTCACTCTCGAGTCACCACTCTTCGAGTCCAAGTCCGAGTCACCAAGGGAGAGTCGTAGTCGAGTCCGAGTCCAAGTCCGAGTCATCCAAGGAGTGTCCGAGTCGAGTCTGAGTCATCATTACCTGTGTTCGAGTCCGAGTCCAAGTCCGAGTCACCCAAGGAGTGTTCAAGTCCGAGTCCAAGTCCAAGTCACCCAAGAAGAGTCCAAGTCAAGTCAGAGTCACAAGTCTTCATGTATCTTCGTGGATATATGTGTTGAAATGTAGCTGCTCCTCTACATTGCTTTTATCCTGTCATGTTATACTAATCTGTCTATTGAGCTCCAACAAGGTGTGTAGGACAGAGAGTGAATACACATACTATACCAGTGTTTCTCAAAGTGGGGGGCGCCGAGGCATGACAAAAATAATATGATACAGTACAGTACTATTACGTCTGGGTCTCTGTGTTTCATTAAAGCTCGGCTCTGTGTGTGTGTGGAACAAGCCATTTTGTGTGCGTGCACGAGAGAGAGAGAGAGCGCACCGGTACTGGAGATCGTTGTTGTTAGCTTCTGGTGCTAGCGAGCTACGCTAACGGATATAAGGTTTTTTCAACAACAAAGTGGAGGAGAGTCCTCTCCTGTCAGACTAAGAGACTCAGTGAACTAAAGGACTCTCTGTGTTATCTCAGTGGGTCTCAAACGTTTTGGTCACCATTAATGTAAACAATTATTTCCGAGGCACACGTTTATATGATCATTATAGTTATAAAAAAAGAATAAATAAAGTTTAAAAGGGGAGTGATTTGTAAAATATCCATAAAGAAATAGTAAATCTGTTTACAGTTCTGTTTCATCTGGGTGTTGAGAGATGTATCCATAGATCTCTTCATTTTGCTCTCAAAGTGCACCAGATTGATGCTTTTAACTTCAATATTTAAAAATCTTCCCGGGGGAGCTTGCCCCCGGACCCCCCTATGTGAGGTCCACACACCACCTATACAAATAGCACTTGCTTACACATGCCGTGAGCTGATATCGAGCCTTCATTGTAACAGTCGCGGGTACATTGGGTGTGTGGGGAGTGTTGCAGTAGAAAGTTCAACTGTAGCGACCGGTACATTAATGGGAAACCCTAAATGTCTGAGCACCCTCTATGAAACGTCAAGCTACCCCACAGCACCCCCAAAATGAGTCCAACGTCTCACGTAATGCTTTGTTTTTCGGTTAAAATGTTTATTTATAATGTTATTTTGTAGTTTTTATTTTATCCAGAGGTTATATTAGGTGATTTGAAAGGTTTATTTTTATTATAAATCCTACTGTATCTCTGTGTTGTGGACTAACGTTTTACACCACGTAACCAGTTAAGCCCTGAGCCTGTTTTTCAGGCCTCAGGCTCGAAAATGACATTCCCAGAACAATTGACTATATCTTCACTTCTAAAAGGGGTAAATTAATAATCTTTTTTCTCAAAGCAATGACAAACTTGTGAGTTGGATGTAGAAAAGTCAGAATCAATATAGATTTTTTTTATTTTAAAGTAAATTCAGATTGAACATAGTAAAAAAATTTAAATTATAGTGTCCGTCCAAAAAAAACATGACTTATAGTGAAAACCACCCTTGAATGATGGGATCGGAGACTAAAAGCTTTAGGAATCCAAACTATAACATATAATAAGTACCCTGTATCAAGATTGATGCAAAACAAGTGACATTTGACCTTTTTAGAGAGATTTAGCACCAAAAAACCCACTTCTGGGGTCATTTGGGTGGATTTGACCTATCTCTGGAACCCTTTGGTCGATTTTGATGATTGACATCTCTTTTGAACCGTTAGAGCCAATAGAATCGATGGGAAGTTCCTCAAATCCATCTAAACATTACCCATTGGTGAATGAGTGATGCGCAGCCAGAATGCCCCGGAATCGGAAGCTACTCTCTAGCTATCATAGCAGCTAATATGTTATTGACATAAAAATGAAATGATGGATTATCAGTAATCATTTCAAAGGGACAGACACATTGGATTAACCTTCAGCCGCGTCTTTATCGTTTTGATGCCATTGAACACAACTTTTCAGAAACAGCAAAGGGTAAGACAAATTGGTCGTGTTTGCTCCACGTGGTGTGATGTCTGGTTTTGTTTCCCATGCCGCGTGTTCTGATCGCTCCGTGGTGATACTTATAAGTCTGGAATCTGTGGAATCTCAGCTAATCGATATCTTGTTTGTGCAGATCCGATAAGTAATAAGGGTATTTTACCTTGAGTTCTGTGCTAAGTGCGTTAGCATTTTTTCGCTCAGGGCTAATTCAGAGCCTTTGTTTTTACCCTAATGTTTCGTTTCGCTAAAAGTTGTTAATATTGTCTGATAGCTGAGTTTCTTCCCGTTAAGTGGGTATGACACATTCATAGTTTGTTAAATGCAAGATGTTGCGTTTTGCCCCCGCCCGCGGGGCCGTGGGGTTTAACTGGTTAAAGTATCGTTATATTTGGACTAAGTTCCTTTATGTCGACATTTGTATGTATTGCTTCGTTAATGTGGCGCTAGATGTAGTTACTTTGAAAAAACAATAACGTAAAATGTTTAATTATAATTTTATTTAGTAGTTTTCTGTTCTCCAGAGGTTATTTTAGTACATTTGAAGGATTTGTTGTGTTTTAAATTGAGTAGAAGCCGGTAATACAGCTTTTTGAATGAATATTTCTATTAAAAAACATGCCTTATAGACGTTTTATATTAAATGTTGCATAAAAAGAACAAAGCGTACTGGAGAAGAAGTGTATGTAAAGGAGCAGTACATTGAAATACTCCATAAAAGTACAAATATGTCACAATAGTACAATACCACTGTTTATAACATGTTTGATTTTGAGTTTTGTATAATTTATTTTCATAATGTGACATTCTGTGTTATCTTGGTTTAAATAACATCGTTTTATCATTTAAAAGTGATGGTAATTAAATAAATAAAGTATTTGCTGGAGAATGACTGTTTAGTCATCAAAACTCTTATTATGTAAAATATGAGGAAACTAAGAGATTTATCCTCATTTGACACAAACCTGCTTTAGGGTTATTTAAATATATTGCGCCATCTTGTGGCTGCAGGAAGAAACTACACACAAACGAATTTATAAAATAAACTTTATTTATAACACGCTGCCGCTCCTTCTTTATTTAAAGTCTCACAGCAGCCCTATCATCTGGGATCATTTCTCACAAATAGTCACACAAAAATCTGAATATTCTCTACTTAAAATGTGCATCATGTCAAATATAAATATGGTGGGTTTTAAAAGAAATTCTGATCTAGAAAGAGTGCCTGGTGTAGATTTACGGAGGGGTTAAAGGTCAGGTCAGGGAGGGTTTTGGTTGGTATTTCACTCGGTTGAAGTCGTCGACTGTAGTTTCCACCGGAGGCTTCTTCCAATATTGCTCCAGACCCAACGTCAGACACAGAGCAATGGCCGCCATCTGGAAACAGAACAAAAATCATGCTTTATTTAAAAAACATTCTTACATTTATCTTATTTTCTGGAGGAAACTCTTGCCTGTCGTGTCAAATGATCATATAATCATTTAAAACATATAGTCTTAGGTCGCATTCACACCTAATAGTCCGCTTCTCTGGTGCGCACCAGACGACAGTGTGTTTCATTTTTCAGAAGGTTCGGTTTGCGTTCACACGGCAAAACTCAAACGGACTATACACTTTAAACACAAGTCATGTGCTCAGAAATGCTGTTCAACCATTGGTCAGACATTAAGGGGGTAAAAACGCAAATCCCGGTAATTTCTACCGGAGCCTCCGCCACGGAGCATCGGCACTTTCAGCAGGTTATTCTCATGCTGCTGTTAATCTGGAGATCAACAGACTCTAGCGGCCCGCACATATGATTATATCATCAGACAACGTCCGTTAAAAAACATTATAACACATGAGAGACGTTCTGCAGTCAGGAGGGCGTTTCACCGACGACAGTGTTCTTACTTTTATGTAGCTGACGGAGCCTTTTTACTTTACACAACACTGTTCAACTCTTCATTCTGCTTCACTCTTTCACTAAACAACCGCGGATGTCTTGAAAGACTCTTTCGCTAAAGATTTTGAAGATATCCGCGTTCTTGTGACTCGTAAATACTATGTTTTGGTGCGGACTGCGTTCACACCAGAGATGAACCGCTCCAGAGTTCACAAGCAAGCGGTCCGACTCGAGACCTCTTTTAGGCGGACCAGAGTCCGGTTGTTTAGTTCACTTCAGAGGTCTCGGACTGCGTTCACACCGACCCAAACGAACCGCACCAAGCGGCTAAACGCACCAGGGTTCGATTCAACCGAACTATACAAGGCTGGTGTGAATGCGACCTTATACTCTGATTGCCTTTTACTCTGTTAAATTGTATTTGTAGTCTTGTATGTGTTTAACAGAGGCAGATGTTAATGGTTTACATTTCAGAAGGGCAAGAGGAAGTAAAAGGTGAATTTGCAAATGGTTAAGGACTGGGGGTTTTATGGTTTTATGGTTTTATGGTGGGGATTTTTAGATAATGCTTAAGAGAATTTAACCTGTTAGGCCCCGAGCCTGTTTTTTAGGTCTCAGGCTCGAAAATGACATTCCCAGAACAAATGACCATATCTTCCCTTCTAAAAGGGTTACATTAATAATATTTTTTCTCAAAGTAATGATAAACCTGTGAGTTGGATGTAGAAGAGTCAGAATCAATATAGATGTTTTTTATTTTAAAGAAAATTCAGATTGAACATAGTAAAAAACTGTAAATGATAGTGTCCGTCCAAAAATTATTTTGTACTTATAGTGAAAACTAACCTTGGATGATGGGTTAGTAGACTAAAAGCTTTCGGAATCCAAAGTACAACATATAGATAAGTACCCTGTATCAAGATTGATGCAAAACAAGTGATATTTGACCTTTTTAGACAGATTTAGCACACAAAAAAACTCTTCTGGGGCCATTTGGATTTTCCATATCTCTGGCCCCCCTTCTTCGATTTTCACATGTGACATCTCTTTCAGACCGTTACCCCCAAAACACACCAGGAGCGTCTGCGTCGCGTTACGGCCGCGCCGCGGCGGTCGTAAGGATCGCGGCCACTCTAGTCAATGGGTGCTATTACACCACACGCGCCGTGTTACGGCTCAGACGCGTCCCAGAAGCGGCTCGGCGCAGCGCTTCTCTAAAATTAGGATGAATCCTATTTTTGCCGCGGCGCAGCCGTAAGGTAAACTCCTCCCCCCATCCCCCCGTAGTCTTTCAAGTAGGAGAATACATGCCAGCGTTCTCCTCCGGTTTACAGGCACTGTAAATGATATATATATATAGAATAATTATGATGATGAATGCATATTTTTTTACCACTAAAATACAGCAACACATCTTTGATTCATGTCGTTTATAACTGGAATATTACAATTATTATTAACTGTGTCTGTAGTCTACAACACAACAAAATAGGAAATAACAACAATAAACACGATTTAAACAGACACAAACATAAACCATTTAACTACGTATAGCCTACTTACTTGTAGAAGTACAAATGTCCAGGAAATATTCCAAAAATCAACAACAACTGCGAGGCTGCATACACGACGCTCCGCTTCCGCAACGTTTTGAAACGCGTCTGGTGTGTGTTGACGCAGGAGGAGGTCGCAGCGTGGCGCAGCCGCAACGTAACGCGGCGCAGACGCTCCTGGTGTGTTTTGGGGGTTAGAGCCAATAGAATCGAGGGGAATCTCCCCACTCACACACATGGTAAAACGAAAAGGTGGGGGCTTCGTGAACAAGTTTTGCTCCAGAGTGAAGCTGTCTCTAGGTCTGACATCTCAAAACCGAAAAGCAGATTTATTGCTCATGGATTATCAGAAATAATTCAAAGTGACACAGACACATTGGATTAACCTATGGATTAACTTCAGCAGCTTTTTTATCGTTTTAATGCCATTGAAGACCAGTTTTGACCAGACTACGACACAGGTGTGCCATGTTAGCGTTTTTAGCTAACGAGCGCCACATGTTTTGATGTATGTTCTTGTTATTATCTCCGAGAATTCGTATAATTGAGTGATAATGAGGGTACCCATCGATTCTGTGTCTCCTCACGATGGGTTGAGATGTGCAGCAAAGATAAATAATAAGGTTTCGTGAGTGAATTTCGGTGCAGTCATCTGTTAGCATATTTCGTTCATTGCTAATTCAGAGGCTCAGTGTTAGCATTGTGTGGTTTTGTTTGAAAAACAAATTAAAATGATCAGTTAGATAAGTTTATTCCGTTACATGGATATAAAACATTCATAGTTTATTAAATGAACATGCCCTCAGACACTGTTTCCTGCTAGATGTTGCAAGAGGCCCTCGTTACCGGGGTCTCTCGGGCTTAATGTTCTGCAACAGTTGGATGCAGAACTTCTCTATCCTCTGAGGGTGAAGTAGCTCTGTTCCGACATTTGGGATGAAGATAGAAACTCTCAAAATGTACTTGAAATATTGTACCGTGAGGGTGGCGACGGCTGAAATGATTCCTATCCTCAGTTTGATGGGAAAGCTCAGGTAACTCTTCAGGATCGGACCGCAGGGCTGAGGGTCAAAGGGCGACGTTTAATGAAAAACAATCATTAGAAACATGTATTTTTCTCTGCTAACTATCCAAAGTAAAGGCAGTTATGTGAGTCAAATGGGAAGCGTCCATACAGGTCGCATGTTTGTGTTTTTATGGACGAAACTAAGAGAAAATAGGAGGACATATAGCAGAAATGCAGGGAAATTAAACAGTTTTCGATACCATTTTAGTAAGAAAACAAACAGTGAATACATTTTTTTCAACAAACACTCCTTTATGATTGGTTACTAACTATTGGTTACTTCTCCTCTCATGATAACATTACAATTTACCTTGGTCCGAATTGTATTTTTTGTAATTATAAAGCCTAATTTTAACATCATGCAACTCTATAGAGTCTCACTTTACAGGAAAGCTAACAGCTAACGTTAACTAGCTGTCCTGCCTATTTCAACACAGAATTCAGCATTATCAGAGAAAACAAGTGAGTTTTTCTGCTAACAAAACACTATATATTGACTACTGTACGCCTTTAATATCGAGGCGTTACTGTACTTTGACTAGATAGATAGATAGATAGATGGATAGATAGATAGATAGATAGATGGATGGATAGATAGATAGATAGATAGATGGATGGATAGATAGATAGATGGATAGATAGATAGATATATAGATAGATAGATAGATAGATAGATAGATAGATAGATAGATAGATAGATAGTAGGGGTGTAACGGTTCACAAACATTTCGGTTCGGTACGTACCTTGGTTTTTTGGTCACGGTTAGGTTCGGTACGTTTTCGGTACAGCAGAATTTTTTTTCACAAAACAGGTGCAGCATTTCGATGAACTGAAATAATCTGTATTTGAACTTTACTGTACTAGTACTCACAAAACATAAACTATTAGTTTTGGGTTTTTAATTATTATTAAACTGTGAATATTCACTCAAATAAATACAAAATATAATAAAATGAACATTAAGGTGCAGCATTTCGATGAACTGAAATAATCTGTATTTGAACTGTAGCCTACTGTACTAGCACCTAAGCAGCCAGTTTGACATTAGGACTTGCTTGTCATTGTATTTTCATGTTTTTTTAAAGAAAGATGAACTTGTCCACATTGCTTGCCGAAAGGGCAGATCTGCTGGCACTAACAATGTCTCCTGCTGTGGAGAACACCCTCTCTAGGGACAGAGGTAGCAGATACAGCCAGGTAGCGCTTTGCTAACATGGAAACATAAGGATATTTGGTGTTTGTAATAGCTTTGGCTCGGTCTGAACTCTCTGCGAGTGGTGGAGGCTTAAATGCTAGTGGGAGTTGGGTTTGCACTTCAGTCTTTTTTCTTTTGGTACCGGTGATATTCACGTTCGGGTGATGCCTTTTCAAGAGTGTGCAAGTTTGATGTATTGCCAGCCGCGTAACCAATTTTAGTTGAACAATGCCGACAAACAGCTTTGGTTCGGTCCACCTGTCTTTGTCCGTCATCCTTGTACGTAACTGCGAAACCAAAATGTTCCCAAACCGGAGACTTCAATGATGCTGGAGGATTTTCGAGCTCAACTTTAACTGCGTTCGCCATTAATTTTCGACAGTTCCTCAAATTACTGACTACATTTGAACGCATCCCTCTGACCAGCTCTCATAGTATGCCTCTCGTCCAATGAAATGACTTGCTCGCTCTATGACGCGTTGAACCCAATGTGAGCAAATTACTCTGAATGCTGCGACGCAGCACCTGAGATTACTTCCAAAAAGTTGTTCACGTTCTCAATTGTTTACGTTTAACGATATATTCGTTCGGTACACACCTGTACCGAACCGAAGGGCCCGTACCGAATAATTTCGGTACGGGTACGTGTACCGTTACACCCCTAATAGATAGATAGATAGATAGATAGATAGATAGATGGATAGATGGATAGATAGATACCTCGGAGTGAACCCAGAGTGGAGGTGGAGTTCGGAGGTCGCTCTCCACCATCACACAGGAGCTTGGGGAAAAGAGAAGATATAACAGTCACAAAACACAACAAAATAGTCAAGTTTCTGCAGTATTTAATTCCTCTGGCACAGGAGCGTAAAGAAAGTTATGTTTGTCCAAAAACTTCTGATGTTCTGATGTTCTCAAAGATACATACTGACATACACCTGAACATCAGCAGGAGAGGACTCTTTAAAGTAGAGACACTACATACTGATATACACCTGAACATCAGCAGGAGAGGACTCTTTAAAGTAGAGACACTACATACTGATACACCTGAACATCAGCAGGAGAGGACTCTTTAAAGTAGAGACACTACATACTGATATACACCTGAACATCAGCAGGAGAGGACTCTTTAAAGTAGAGACACTACATACTGATATACACCTGAACATCAGCAGGAGAGCACTCTTTAAAGTAGAGACACTACATACTGATATACACCTGAACATCAGCAGGAGAGGACTCTTTAAAGTAGAGACACTACATACTGATATACACCTGAACACCAGCAGGAGAGGACTCTTTAAAGTAGAGACACTACATACTGATATACACCTGAACATCAGCAGGAGAGGACTCTTTAAAGTAGAGTCACTACATACTGATATACACCTGAACATCAGCAGGAGAGGACTCTTTAAAGTAGAGACACTACATACTGATATACACCTGAACATCAGCAGGAGAGGACTCTTTAAAGTAGAGACACTACATACTGATATACACCTGAACATCAGCAGGAGAGCACTCTTTAAAGTAGAGACACTACATACTGATATACACCTGAACATCAGCAGGAGAGGACTCTTTAAAGTAGAGTCACTACATACTGATATACACCTGAACATCAACAGGAGAGGACTCTTTAATTAAATCCATAAATGTTTTACTTTTTAATCAGTTTTATTTATATTTTGAGATATTTCCCAATTTGGGATCAATACATTTAATACTTAAATTCCTTCAGAAAACGCTTTTTTTTAATAATTATAAATGTGTCCCAAATCTTTTTCTAACTCTACACATAGTTTGATAAATGCCAACAGACTTGTCTAGCAGCTGGTCGGCGGCGGGCGGTGTGCAGAAGCAGGAAACAGGAAGTTGATTGTCCCAGTCCTCAAAACTCCTCAAACCACAACAAGAGTCCTGAGAAAAACACTCAGAATTAGTTTTGGTGCTTTTATTCTGAAGACTACACTGTTGCAGGACTTTAGACTTGTAACAGAGTATTTATATCAGAGGTGTCCAAACTTCCTACGAAGGCCTGGGCCGCTCACTAGAGGTCAGGTTTATAGAGTGGTGCCGGGATGACGTACCCGGAGGTAAGATGCGCATGGGTTCCCTCGACAAAAACGCAACGGGATTTCTTCATAGGTTTTTGGAAAATAGCTCGAAATAAGGTCTGTGGAAAATGAACCACGTTTTGTTCAGCCGGATAATCTCCACATGTCTACCCTACTTTTATAATGTTCTAATCATAAATCTAACAGCCAGAAGCTAAATGCTAACGTGATGCTACAAAGGAACTACAGCCGAGTCCAGCAGCACGACTTCAACGTCACGCCAACTTAAGATCCATATTCAAACATGCAGATTCAAAATGGAACGAGTTGAAGCGTTTGTTTGAACAGTTTGCAGGAGGCAGGGACTTGCTTTCAAGCAGAACAGAAACTAACTTAGAGGCGCGTTTCCCACTGCAGGCCTCGCTCGGTTTGGTTAGGCCTCATTAGGCCCGGCTCACTTTAATGCTGCGCTTCCATTACAGTTTAGGAACTGGGGCAGTTACTATAGTAACGCAGTGTAGGCGGAGCCGTGACGTCATCTTCAATGAGAGCCCCAGAAAAACAACACAGCCGTTAGCTCTTAGCACTCAGAGCTCACAGCTCCTCATATCTGTTCCGAAACTAGACTAAAGTTAAACAAGTACAAACCACAGACTGCCTGTGTCATGGCGAATACAGTCGCTGGTTTATTTATGTCTGTAGGCCGTTGATGTGAGTGTGGACGGTCGGAGCATATACTGCGTTAGCTTAGCCAATCTCCATTCAGAAAACACGCATTTTAAAGGTTTTTCGCCTGCCGTCTGTCTGCAGACTTGTCAAAGCATTAATTCATGGTTTTTACTAACCGGTATCAGTGTGTTGTTACTTCGGCATCATTTTTTAAACGTGTATTACAATTAAATCACGGTCAAATATGTTCATCTTGTTGTAGTTGTAGCCCCCTTGCCAGCGATTCTCTCTCTAGTTTAGCATACTCAGACTGACTCAGCCTGGTTGTTCCTGGCCCTAGAACCACGATTTAGTCGGGCCAGAAAAAAGGTGAATTAGGACCCGCTAGCCGGTACTAGGCCAAGTGGAAACGCAACCAAAAACGGGCCCCGCACGGCTCGGCACGCTTAAAGCGAGCTACCCGCTGCAGTGGAAACGCGCCATTAGCGGAGTGTTTACGTGTTCGGCGTAATGACGTACAACGGCCTCCACAACTTCTGTAGTCCTATTCAGCCACTTGGTAACAACCATCGTTTTTCAGACAACTCTTCAGAAATCACCAGTGGGGTCACTGCTGATGGATTTAATGTCGTAGAACAAAACGTGATTCGTCTCTTCAATGTGTCTCAACCACAGACCTTATTCCAGATAGTTTCCTAAACCCTATGGAGGAATCCCATTGGCTCTGAGACGAGGGAACAGGAAGTGGTAAAATGCTAACTCACTTCCGGGTTTTAGGACCCGTCACTGCACCGCTCTGTTGCCTCATAAGTTAAATTATAAGTTGGACAAATCTAGCGCATGTAGGTACATTACTCTTGATACTTTAAAACAGCTCACAGCTCTCCAGAGGGTTTGATTTATTCTGTTAGCAGCTCATTCCTCAAAACAGAAGCTTCAGACTGATTATCATGAGGAAATATGAAGGGTCTATTTCAAGGTTGTTATATAAATGTGTTATTGGGCTTTTTTCTTATCAACTTAGATTTGTTAGAACATGTTTTCAACTTTAATGAATAACCTCAACACCTTCAAAAAACTCACCTCTTCAACCTGGCTTTTAATGTGTGATTGTTGTTTTATTGTTTGGTTTTAATTTGACTTTAACTATATCTATTTGTTGTTCTTTTCTTTTCACTTTGAGCACCTGTAAACGCGCTTACAAAATACATCTATTATTATTATTTAATCGACTGAATTGATTTGAAAAGTGGTCTTATTAACACATGAATACTGTGTAATATATTTAAACACATATATTTAAGAAGTAAGACAAGCAGAAGTTTATTATACTTAAGTCATTATACTTTTTCAATTTGATGAGGGTCGATTCAAAATGGTTTGCGGGCCGCATTTAGCCCCCGGGCCGTAGTTTGAACACCCCTGCCTTATACACTCTGGTACCTCTACTTTTACTCAAGTTAACTGTTTATATATCGTTTTATTCCCTGTTTCTCTCTGTGCGTTTCTTACAGAGAACTGCAGTTTGCTCAGTTCCCCCTGAATGTAACTCTCTGTTCTGTACAGCGGCGTGACGTTCAGGAACACCTCGTCAACAGCGCCGTCCATCTGCAGAAAACAGAAGAAAACAGTAGGAAAAAACGTAACATTAAAGCTCCCATGTCATGCTTCTCTGGTTCTCACCCGTCCCCTTGTGTTATGAAGGTTCTTCTGCATGTGAACGGTCTGCAGTCACAAACCCTCAGAGTGCACCCTGTAACGAGTAGAACTCTAACACAGAGAAGACCTGTCTGTGCTGCCCCAGAACGCCTCGTTGGACATTTCTCTTTTTCCATTTCTGTCTTCCTGGATATAGTGACGTAACGATACCCAGGTCCAAATGGACCAATCCGTGGGGCTCCTCACTAGTGCTGTAGCGACGCGTCGACTTCAAAATATCGTCGACGACATATTTCCGCGTCGACGCGTCGCTACACACACGTGGGTCACCCAAAGCAACAAGCAGTTCGCAATCGCACTTCAAACACAATGGAGACTGAAACGGCTACCAACTCCTCCTCACAGGATTGCGCACGAAGCCCCCAAATGAAAACATCTCGCCCTAGGTCTTCAAAAGCATGGGAATATTTTAAAGTTAGTCCAAAACGCAAAGATATTTATATATTTATATCTCACTGAGACTGCTGCATAGCCTAGACCGGAAGCAGCAGCTAGCTGTGGTGGCTACCATTAGCAGCTAGCATTTGCTCTCCGATTTTTACATAAAATGGAATTATGGATTATAAATTCAATCATTTTTTTATACATAGACGTTAAAAACCTATGGATTAACCGATTCAGCCGCGTTTTTTCTCATTTTAATGCCATTGAACACGTCTTTTGATCAGATTACGGTGGTGAGACGATCTCCCTAGAAGCTCTGTGAAGGTACGTGTTGTGATGACTGTATTTGCTTCCCCTGTCGCAAGTCCGGATCACTCAGTGATGAAACTATATACCTACATAATCTGTGGAGTCTCAGCTTTAATCGGATATATTGTATGTGCAGCTACGATAAGTAATAAGGGTACTTTTATCTTGAGTTCTGTGCCAATGTCCGTTAGCATTTTTCGCTCAGGGGTCATTTAGATGCTTCTTATGAGACTTGTGTTTTGTTTTGGTAAACATGGTTTGTATCGTCAGTTAGCTGAGATTATTTCCGTTAATCTGGTATAACACATTAATAGGTTCTTAAATATTAAGATCCCCTGAGACACAGTATCGTGAACACATTTTTTGTTTACATTACGTTTTTTATGAATTGAACAACAGAAAAATAATCGTTAGATTAGTCGACTAATCGATCAAATAATCGCCCGATTAATCGTTTTCAAAATAATCGTTTCCCCCCAGCACTACTCCTCACACACACTCTTACACACCTTATCGTTTCTCAGCCGCCGCTCCGTGGATCTCCACTCACAGTTCGCCACACACCCACGTGTGTGTGCTCAGGCTGAGTTCAGGCTGAGGTTCGGTGTGTCTCGCAGACCCACGCAGCAACCAGGAAACGACACCAGTAACCCAGCTCACACTGTCCGCAGCAGCGAGCCCCGCAACGTCCCGCCCACACGGCACCCAGACCTCACGCAGCATTCTCATCTGTCTGTCATTACTGGTGTCATTTCCTGGTTGCTAACAAACGCCATTGTAACACATAATCACTGATGTTCAGCTGTAACGGTGGTGGACTCATCAGAGCAGAGTGGGCGAGCTGACCAATCAGAGCACAGTGGGCTCACAGGGAGGGGGGGGGCAGGAGCTCCAACAAGCGGTGTAGGACAGAGAGTGAATACACAGACTATACAGAGATGCTGTGAGAAACCAATGTGAGTTTGGAACATTGAACAATGTAAATATATTCTAGTAGACCTCAACTATGGAGTTATGATCAGCAGAAATGGCCATGGGACCTTTAAGGCTCTTAATAAAGTACTTTAAAAACGGATTTATTTTTCTTCAGAGTCTAATAAATAATAAAATAATTGAATAAAATTGAAATAATTACAGTTGTAAATAAATCAAAGTGTTTAAGAAATGATCAAATATATTAATTAAAATAAATAAATAATTTACGTTCTTAATTATATACTGTATATATATTTATTTTTTATTTTTATTTCTTTAAACATATGATATAAATAATAAAATAAATTAATGAAATTATAGCCCAACATTGAAGACATTCAATTCGTTTTTTGTTCTTAAAAAATATAAATAAATAATTAAAGCTCAGCTTATAGTTTATTGATTATTCATAACGTTTGATAAATATTTTCATAGATATTTAAAATAACAATAAAATAATTCAATTGTATTTAAAATAAATAAATAAAACTAATTTAATTAATTAATTAATTAAATAAATAAAGAAACTGTACAAAATAAAATAGCGCAATGTGATATTTTTTAAGGCAATATTATTATTAAAATCTTCTCTGTGCTGCAGTGACCACAGCGGCCTGCAGGGGGCAGCAGCAGATCAGAGATTATTTATTATTTATTTATTACACACCTGAGCCTGAACCTGGACCAGCGGAGAGGCGACGACCATCAGAGCCACAAACTCCACGAAGATCAGAGCGGAGAACTGGAGAGAAACACAAGTGAGGAGGGTGTGTGTGTGTGGGGGGGGGGGGGTGGTATGTGTGGTCTAGCATTACAGTCACGTGTGGGGACTCGCCTCCCTTATGGGGACATAATGGAGGTCCCCATAAGGGGAATCATTCATTTAGGGTGAAGACTTGGTTAGGGTTAGGCATGTGTTGGTTCTGGTTATGGTTAGGATAAGTCTCCAGGAAATGAATGTAAGTCAATGTAATGTCCCCTGAAGTGATGTATACATGGTGTATGTGTGTGGGGGGGGGGTGTGTGTGTGTGAGGGAGAGAGAGAGTGAGTGTGTGTGTGTGTCTGTGTATCTGTGTGTGTGAGAGAGTGGGTCTCTGTGTGTGTGTGTGTGTGTGTGTGTGTGTGTCTCTGTCTGTCGGTCTGTCTGTGTGTATGTGTTTTTGTGTGTGTGCGTTTGTGTGTGTGTGTCTCTGTGTGTGAGTGTGTGTCTGTCTGTCTGTCTGCGTGTGTGTTGGTGTCTCTGCGTGACAATTTGACTGGGGGGCCAGTTATTTTCTGAGGGGAGCACAATAAATGCAGGACGAAAAAGAGAACTAGACAGTATGAAGTAATTGCGCATAAGAAAACAATGCAATCCAGTTATTGGTATTTGTTTCAGTACACTTATTTATTTCAGATAGATCTTATAGTTATTACTGTTAGCTTCAGCTTAAGTTATAGTGCAATGTTTGCACTAACACCATATTTATATAAAAATAAAGGCAATGAACAGTTACATCTCTACTCTACATAAGGGTGTCTGCACAATCTCACAATCTCACATTACAGCAACACAATCCTGAGTACCAGAAAATATACATTTATAAAAAAAAAACTAAAAAAAAAACTTGTCATTGTTAGGGGGGCCACAGGGGGGTCAGAGGTCAGTGTTAGGGGGCACTGCCCCCCCCCCTAGAACCGCCCCTGGTGTGTGTGTGTTCTCTGCGTGTGTGTGTGTCTCACCACCAGCAGCAGTGTCTTCAGGTCCAGAGCAGCAGCACACACTCCTAACACAGACAGGATGACTGTGATTGGTCCAAATCCCTGAAGCAGCTTCAGACCATCGCTGCTGGAGAGCTGCTCGAACAGCTGGGGAATAAAGCTCAATAAATCTGACTTAATTATCTTTCAAGAGTCAAAAGTTACTAAATACTAAAATACATAAATACAATTAAATCTCTAAATTCATCAAAACTAATCCACCTTAGTGTTCACTTAATAATAGATACAATTAATGATAGCAACTTTTAAAGCTCTCACTTAATCACTTTAAATTAAATAGTTTAATACATAATCAATTAAACAAACATGTAGCTCTAAATAAATCAAATTAAATTCTGATTAAATTCTTTATTTAAATAATTTAAATAATATATAAAATTAATCACATTACATTTAGATTATAGTTAAAAATAGTATTAAAATAATTATGAATAAAGCTCTAAATTATTCACCTTTTATTCAGCTTTCTTTCTTTTTTAATAAATAATTAAATACACATCGATGAAATAGAAATAATTGAACAGATTTATTTTTAAACATAAAAAATGCAATAAATCATTAAATAAAACAAACAATAAATCATTAAATAAAACAAACAATAAATCAAATGAAATTCATACTTTTGTCTAAAAGCATTTATTAAATACATAAATAATGAACACCATATATAATGAATTGTACGTGATGATTTAATAACGTTGACTGCCTTTTTCCACGAGTTTAAATTATTTACAGACATACAAATGCCAATGTATTAAATATCCTAATTATGTAACGTATTAGTTATTTCTTTAATCCCTTCCCTATAACGATAATTACCTCTGGAGCTCAGACAGACCAGGCCGGCTGTAAAACGGTTTTATTTGTTGTGTTTTGGTTAATCACACACACACACACACACACACACACACACACACACACACACACACACACACACACACACACACACTGTTACCTTGGCGACCGGTATGTTTCCGTCGATGGAGGAAAAGCCGACGCCGATCATCACCAGGCCGGACGCCTGAGGAGACGTTCAATTAGACGTGTGTCGTTGTGTGTGTGTGTGTGTGTGTGTGTGTGCGTGTGTGTGTGTGTGTGTGTGTGTGTGTGTGTGTGTGTGTGTGGGTGTGTGTGTGTGTGTGTGTGTGTGTGTGTGTGTGTGTGTGTGTGTGTGTGTGTGTGTGTGTGTGTGTGTGTGTTTCACAGAGAGTCAGGAGGAGGAGTTTAACTGCAGCAACATTCCTGAGAAACTGATTTTCCCCCGAGAGCTGCAGCGCTGACGTCTCCGGGTAAAACTTTTAAAGAACTAAAAAAAGAAATAATTCCCCTCAGCTGAAAGTTTCCGTGCTGCAGAGAATATCCTCTGAGTTCTCATGTGCTGCGGAAACATTAGAATACGAATCTGAAACTCCTTTGTTTACTTCCAGATCACGGTGACAACACACAGAACACTAGCGCTCCAACACATTGTACATGATAGGCTAAAGGGGGCGGGACATCTCTAAGCTGGTTGACCAATCACAACAGAGCCGGCCAGCTAACCAATCAGAGCAGGTTTCAGACAGAGGGTGAAAAGAGGCAGAACAGCGTTACAGAGAAGCAGTCGTTGTTAATCCAACAATGATGACGAAATGAAGTAAAAGTACATTAAATCAAAATATACCGTTTTTTACTTAATAATTACAAATAAATTGGACAATTGTGAATCAATAGAAAGTAACAAATAAAATGAAATCATATATAGTCACACTCAGTCATTTACATAAATATATTTAACTTGTAATGTTGTAAAGATTTTAAGATATTTTTACGACGTCTTTCACGACTTTTAAGTAAACGTTAGAATCCAATTGTGAAAAAGTTTAAAATATTAGAATATAATATTAAAAACAAGATATTTTGCATAGCTATAAACACAATTATGAATGCATTGTATAGGAAGTAAAAAGCTTAAAATAATGCATGCACTATACAGTTAGCGGCCAGTCGTTAGCAGTTAGCGGTTAGCGGTTAGCTCACCATCAGCAGCACAGTGACACAGATGGAGAGACCTCGTAAGTAACTCCTGTAGCGAGCCATGATCCCAACTGAGAGAGGAGAGAGGAAACACAGAGAGAGAGGGGTGGGTGTGTGTGTGTGTGTGTGTGTGTGTGTGTGTGTGTGTGTGTGTGTGTGTGTGTGTGTGTGTGTGTGTGTGTGTGTGTGTGTGTGTGTGTGTGTGTGTGTGTGTGTGTGTGTGTGTGTGTGTGTGTGTGTGTGTGTGTGTGTGTGTTGATGGATATTGTTTAAAGCTCACAGGAGTGTTTGGCTGCAGAACGAAGAACATGACCAAGTTAGGAAGATCAGCTGGAGAGAGGAGGAGAGGACACTAGGGAGGAGGAGAGAAGGAAATGAATGAAGGAAAGGGAGGAGGAAAGGAGATAAAACAAGTAGAGGTAACAACAGCAGGGGTTAGAAAGGAGGTTAGGAAATGAGAAAAGGAAAGAAGAACACAAAGGGTGAAAGGAGAGGAGGGGAAACAAGGTGAGGAATCAAGTGGGTAGGATACAAGAGAGGAGAAGTAAAAGGAGAGAAGGACACAAATGGGGAGAGGAGAGGAAACAAGGTGAGGAATTGAGTGGGTAGGAAACAAGGGAGGAGAAGTTAAAAGAGAGAAGGACACAATGGGGGAAGAAGAGGAATCAAGGTGAGGAATTGAGTGGGTAGGAAACAAGAGAGGAGAAGTTAAAAGAGAGAAGGACACAATGGGGGAAGGAGAGGAAACAAGGTGAGGAATCGAGTGGGTAGGAAACAAGGGAGGAGAAGTTAAAAGAGAATGACACAAATAGGGAATGCAGAAGAGGAAAGGAAACAAGGGTGGAAACTAATGAAGTTAAAACAAGGGGGGAAACAAGAGGAGAGGAAACAAGGAGATAAGGAGGTTATCTGAGGTAAGAATCGTCTATAATTAAGGAAAGGAAGGAGGAGTGATTGATGGAGAAGGAGATAGGAATGGAAGGGAGATAAACAGGAAGAAGGATGGAAGGGAACGAGGACAGAAAGTGAAAGTATGAAGGACATTAAAGAACAACAAATAATGACGTCAGCATCGAGGCTTTGAATAAATAAACAAAGGCTTTAGAAACCGGAGAACGAATGATCGCCTGAACGTCAAAGGAAACACTAAATATATGAACATAATTATTGTAAAAAGTCTCAAATCACAAAATTAAAAAGATAAATAAAACATAGAAAAAATAAATGCTAAATGTACCTAATTTGTTGTATTGAGAAAAAATAAATAAAAACACCAATCACTAATAATAATCTCTAAGTTAATTTAAAATGTACCTTTTTAAGTTCTAAAAAGTCTCAAGAAAGCGAACAACTGCACCAACGGTCAGACTATAGTTGAAATCCTTTCTTTGTTATATTTATTAGATTTGATTTATTATTATTCTATTGGCGCAAATAGTGAGAAATCCCCCAAAAGAAACTCACCAAAATGTATACTCACATTTTTGATATTGTAAATTGTCTTAGAAATATATAAAAAACTAAATCTCCCTTTTGTTCCGTCACAATAACATGTCCAAATATTGTTTTAAGATCTCAGAGCGAAACAGTTTGCCCGTAAAGATCGTTGAGAAGAAAATAATCAAACGTAAACGAACAGAGGAATTCAGTGAGTCATTGAACGCAGCGCCGTGTTGACGTTAGACTAAAAATAACTGAAGGGGACAGACTCACTGTCTGAGTGCGTGTGTGTGTGTGTGTGTGTGTCTGAGTGCGTGTGTGTGTGTGTGTGGTGTGTGTGTGTGTGCGTGTGTGTGTGTGTGTGTGTGTGTGTGCGTGTGTGTGTGTGAGTGCGTGTGTGTGTGTGTGTGTGCGTGTGTGTGTGTGTGTGTGTGTGCGTGTGTGTGTGTATGTGTGTGTGCGCATGTGTGTGCGTGTGTGTGTGTGTGTGCGCATGTGTGTGCGTGTGTGTGTGTGTGTCTGAGTGCGTGTGTGTGTGTGTGTGTGTGTGTGCGTGTGTGTGTGTGTTGTGTCTTGAAGTGCGTGTGTTGTGTGTGTTGTGTTTGTGTGGCGTTGTGTGTGCGTGTTGGTGTGTGTGGGTGTATGTGTGTGAGTGTGTGTGCGTGTGTGTCCTGAGTGCGTGTGGTTGTGTGTGTTTGATGTGTGTGCGTGTGGTGTGTGTGTGTCTGAGTGCGTGTGTGTGTGTGTGTGTGTGGGTGTGTGTGTGTGCGTGTGTGTGTCTGAGTGCGTGTGTGTGTGTGTGTGTGTGTGTGGGTGTGTGTGTGTGCGTGTGTTTGTGGGGGTGTGTGTGTGTGTGCGTGTGTGTGTGGGCGTGTGTGTGTGTGTGCGTGTGTGTGTGTGTCTGAGTGCGTGGGTGTGTGTGCGTGTGTGTGTGTGTCTGAGTGCGTGGGTGTGTGTGTGCGTGTGTGTGTGTGTCTGAGTGCGTGGGTGTGTGTGTGTGTGTGTGCGTGTGTGTGTGTGTCTGAGTGCGTGGGTGTGTGTGTGCGTGTGTGTGTGTGGGTGTGTGTGTGTGTGCGCGTGTGTGTGTGGGTGGTGTGTGTGTGGTGTGTGTGTGCGTGGGTGTGTGGTGGGTGTGTGTGTGTGTGCGTGCGTGTGTGTGTGGGTGTGTGTGTGTGTGTGCGGGTGTGTGTGTGGGTGTGTGGGTGTGTGCGTGTGTGGGTGTGTGGTGGTGTTGTGGTGGTTGGGTGTGCGTGCGTGTGTGTGGGGGTGTGTGTGTGTGTGTGTGGGTGTGTGTGTGCGTGTGTGTGCGTGCGTGTGTGTGTGTCTGAGTGCGTGTGTGTGTGTGTGTGTGTGTGTGTGTGTGCGTGTGTGGGTGTGTGTGTGCGTGCGTGTGTGTGTGTCTGAGTGCGTGTGTGTGTGTGCGTGTGTGCGTGTGTGTGTGTGTGTGTGTGTGTGTGTGTGTGTGTGTGTGTGTGTGTGTGTGTGTGTGTGTGCAGCTGGTTGCTCAGCTGTGTACCCTTACATAGTGATGATGGAGATAAACACACACTCTCTGATACCTGACGCTTTAACGAGTGTTTCATTTTCATTTCTGAATACTTTTAAATCCAGCACTGAAGACTTTTCTTTTTGTCGCTGCTTTATAATTGAACTATTCACATCTTAAACTGCACTGTAACTTTTATCCATGTACTTTTTCTTTTAATGTTTATTTTATTAGCTTTTCTTTTTAATGACTGATTTTAAATGCCTTTTTCTGAATGTCTTTCATTTTTTGTAAAGCACTTTGAATTGCCTTGTGTTGAAAAGTGTATATAAATAAACGTGCCTAAAGAGTTCCTTCTCTGCTTGTTGGAGGTGTTCCCTTTCCTCTAGAGCAGTGATTCTCAAACTCTTTTCACTCATGTTCCCCCTTTGAAAACACAATGCAGCCATGTACCCCCTGATCAGCGCAAAGACTATTTGTTAAGGAAGAAAAGCCTATATAGAGAGGTACAGCACATCGCTGCACCTTCAGTGTCTGATTTATTAAAACAACAACTTTGTAACTGAGAAATACTTAAATGCTACATTTCAATTGTTTACAATCCATCACTAAATTCATGGCAAACCAATTTTAACATCATGCAATAACACTAAGACGACATTAGTTGCATTGAACTGATCTTTTTAATAAGTTGTACTTACAATGTAGGCCTAGTGAGAAACATGGGCTCGAGCTTCACTGAGGATCTGTGTCATTCTGACAGGGAGGCTAACTGCAGCTATTACACGTTTTGAAATATGTAACTCTATTCATATAAAACCCAAACTGCTCAAACTTCGTTACTTTTCCTAAAATTGGTATATTTATTTATGTTGGGGCGTGGAGAATGAAGAGAAAAAATATATGAGCATTTTATCAGCATGGGATTTTGACCCCTCATATAAACATATGCATAATGCTGCGCTATACTTTGCGGCCACACGCCGTTGCCAAGCAACGCTTATTGTTTAGGTCCTTTGATAAGCAGGCAGTCATATCATTAACTAGAACTAGCTAGATCTGATAGATTTGGACATAAACGCGAGTGAAGTCTAACCGGAGAGAGAGAGAGATCAGATCAGCTGCTGCTGACGGAGAACACGCAGCTCTGCATGATCACAGCTCCGTCGCTGTGACGGACCGTTGAGTGAAATACACTGAGAGTTAGACCTAACACACTTAGCTAGTTTATCTACTCTGGAACTAGCTAAACTAGTTATACATATATGTATTCTTTACTGTCGGGTCACTCATTACAGGTTCAGCGAGCTGCACGAGCCTGACGGGCTGTCAGGAGAGGGAGAGGAAAAGAGAGCAGAGTTTCTGTAAACCTTTGAAGAAAGCAGTTCATCTACTATCAGTAGTTTGTTTAAATGCATTAATTATGTTTTCTTTTTTCATTAACATAAAATAAATCTCACGTACCCCCTGCAGTACTCCAACGTACCCCTAGGGGTCCGCGTACCCCCATTTGAGAACCACTGCTCTAGTGTGTTCTATAGGTGTTAGTGCATGTCAATGGTCTGCAGAGGTTAAAATCACAAAGTTCCAGAACATAATGACATCACTATGGAACACTCGCACTCCTATTGGCTCGCGCTCCCACACATCGTAGGTGATTTCCAGACATTTTACTTTCCTCACACAGTATCTCCGGGACAGTTTTCAGATACTCACATTTAGAAACAAACAGACTTTTCTTTACAAAGTCGGACATACACGTCTTTTCCTTAAGTTTTTCAGGTTTTTTCTTCCAGGTATTTTTTTGACTTTTCATGTTTTATTTCTTGTTTTTCTTTTGGATACTGGCAACATATTTTCTGAAACGTTCTGAGACATTTTCTCACATGTTTTGGAAATCCTTAAGGCATTTTCCTCCCTTCCTTTGGCCTTTGGTCTGTCATCACCGTCCAGGTCACCGTCCAGGTCACCGTCCAGGTCAGCGTCCAGGTCACCGTCCAGGTCACCGTCCAGGTCACCGTCCAGGTCACCGTCCAGGTCACCGTCCAGGTCAGTGTCCAGGTCACCGTCCAGGTCACCGTCCAGGCCAGGTCACCGTCCAGGTCAGCGTCCAGGTCACCGTCCAGGTCAGC